GTCAATAAAATAACCTGGATGCATCAGAAGAAAATGGAAAAAAATAATTCATGACATAAGATCCTTCAGAGGATAAAATGAAGACACGGGGCATACTCTGGCAATTAGTAAGTTAAAGGTTAGCAAACAGTATATCAGAAGAAATAGTTATGGAAGAAGATGAAATGTGTAAAACTTAAATCGAAGTACCTTAGATATATAAAATCACTAAAAGGAAAATGTTTTGTTAAAAGAAGTAACAATAATAATCAGAACAGTTAGATAATGAAATTAACATATGACAGTTTAAACGCTAATAAAATTATTCTCATTACAGTTAGATTCATCAGAAATACAAGTCAGAATCATCTCTGTTTGGTGATATAATAATGGGAACAATTTCAAATCTGTCCATTCTATGCTCCTGTAACGACCCACCCCTCGGTACCCCCATTTTGATCGTTGTTTTTACGTCTGAAGTCTTTATTATTACCTCTTAATTTTATTTTACTTTAAATTCCATACCATATTTGGCCTTTTTTCTCTAGTAGTAGAAGTCAGGGGCGGCTCGTGACCAAAATTTTGGGGGTTCACAGTAGCAGAATATAGATCCCGGTACAGATATAAGTAAAGAACTGTCATCGTCTAATTACATAATTTATAATTTATATACACATGTTGTGATAATGTTAAGGTAAACCAGGATTCGATGCAAACTTTGGTGCAAATTGATAAATAAAACCAGACAAATTTTTATTTAAACTCTTTTACTTTTCATACTTTAAATGTGATGCAATAATTAGCAAATTATATTACAATTAATATGAACTATTTACTGAAATCTCACTTGAGCCCCGTTCAAACGCAGACCATGTTCATTTGCTCTCAAGATATATTTTTTTTAGCTTGATGACCAACGGAGTTAACGAACAGCATCAATTCGCCAGTTGGTTAACTACTGTGTTGTTGTTAATATTTTTATTTAGCTTGATTCTATTCTAGATATACACAGGTTGTACTATCTTAGGTAATTATTTCGACGAGTATAGAGGTGATGACCAACGGAAGTAACGAACAGCGTCAATTCGCCAGTTGGTTACCTTACTATGTTGATTTCACATATACTTTTTTCAAACCTAGAAGAATGGATGGAGAATACGCCCCGGCAAAAAAATAATAAAAATAGGCACTGACACGTTATTTTTTATTTTCTGCACGTTTTTTCTGACGCCCACAACTGTTGCACATATTTAGGTACATTGTGCAGCTTTCATGCAGCCATCTGTCACAAACGATACACTGAATTCAATCATCTTTTGATTTGGTGGAATAATAGTGTTCTCCGCACTCAACACAGTCTGTGTCATCAATACGGAGATCTCATCTGACGAAGGGCACTGAATATCTACTGATGAATCGTCTGAAGAAGAGACATAAGAGGTTTTCTTACTTTTGACAATTTGTTTTTTAGGTTTTATACCAGATGAACCAGCTGCATTATAATCTTTTTCCAACATTTTGCCGACAGTAGTTTTTTTGTCAGTTAAAATCTGGCGTTTTACTTTATTTTCAGGTGATGTTAGAATTACAGCAGACTGCTTTCTCTTGGAGATATTGACTCGTCTAATTGGCACAGGAATTATTTATCTTAGAAGTTTGGATGGAGTTTCTTCTTCTTCTCCTGCAGCACCTGCTTGGACTTTAACTTCCATACCATTTTCTGGGACAGGCTATCTGATGGTGACAGTTTTTTCAGGAGTAGCCTCTTGATTTGGTGTTACGGTATTAACCCCAGCTGCATCAGAGATGGCAAAGAAATGTTCGGGAATAATTGATGGGTCATGCCAGTTGCTTTTAAACCTGATACTGTATTACTAACAAACGCTGCTCTGACCCACGCACTTCCTATCAGTCCAGAAACATTGTATCAGTTAAGATTTCTTTCTTTATGGTTAATCATCCATGTTCTTGTTTCCTGCATAAAATTTTTTTTTAAAGGCTTAAAGAGTGACTTATCCAGAGGCTGTAATGCCTGTGTTGTATGGCTTGGAAAAGTTCAATATCGTTCTCTGTTGCCAAGTTTAAAAGTTCTATCGAATTACAATGCGATGCATGACCGTCCAATATAAGCAAACATTTGCCGATACCTTTTCTTGGAATGAAGTATTCTCGAAACCATTTTACAAACAAATCGCTGTTAATGTATGAAGTTTTCTGGTTCATGTAAACGTCGGAGCCAGGAGGGAGTCCATCTACAAAATCTGTTTTTTTGTACTTACCTTTCATTATCAGCGCTGGTGGAAAAAAAGTGCCTTCGGCTTTGCAACATGCTATTAATGAAATATTTTCACCCCTTTCCGTACTTGTCAAAGAGTAGACATCTTTCGCTCCTTTTGTTGCAATAACTCGCTCTGCTTTGTTATTCACTTGGATTCCAGTTTCGTCCATATTAAATATTTTAGACGGCTTGTCTAACAAGTAATTTTCTGTTAACAGTTTCAATAACAGCTCCAAATAATCACCGACTTCCTTTCTATTCATTCCTTGCGCTCGGGCCAGTGATAGTCCTTCAGATAGAACCTTATTTCTCTTCATAAATCCGTCTAACCAAATTTTGCCTGCAGACTTCTCATTTGTGGAAAAACAGTTTTTAATGCCTACTTTTTTTGAAAACTCCAAAGCCAACCTTTTCACATCGCTTCTATTGGGAGCAAACTCCACTTTTTCAAGAGCTTGAATTTGTAAGACTAGTCTTCTTTCATGTTCTCTACCAAGGGTTGGACATCGGCCAAGATATTTTTTAGAGCTGTTAATAGCAAGGTGTCTTCTTAAAGTTTTTGAAGGTATATCATATTCCCTACTAGCTGCATTCACACCCATTTGTCCACTTCTGACTTTTTCTATAGCAGTGGCCATTGCAGCTTCGCTCCACGCAGCTCTTGTTGTTTTTCTCCTATACTCTGCCCATATTCTAAAAGAAAAAATAATGATTAAACTTATTATTGACTGGGGTGTATTGTAATTAAGTGATGTAAAAAGCCCCACCCAAATATTTGGTAAACGGTTTTAATTCTAGCCACTAGACACACTCTAAGAGGTACACCTAGTTGTATAGTAACGTATCATATAAAAAGAGTTTGGAAACGAAGCACCTAATCTGACGCTAACAGTAACAGAGGCGGCAATATGGAGGTGGGGCGTATTATACCACTTTACACTATAATTTTGAGAGCTACTTGCATTCTTTCGCAGAGTATGTTCTCAAAATTCTCTGTTTGCAGAATGACCAGGTCTTCTGCATATGCTATTGTGTAGTGACTGTTATTATTGAGGCGGATGATAAGGGTGTCGAAGACCCTGTTCCACAGTAGAGGTGATAGCACCTCTCCCTGTGGACAGTATGGCCTTATTTACAGAATGTTCCATTTGAAAAAAACTGAGGAAATTTCGAGGATATTTGGTGAAAACATTTTCTTTTTCCAAATGATTGATTTTGAGATATTTGGTGTTGATTGAAGTAATTTTATGAAATAAATTCCAAAGGAATTCAATCTAATGAAAATATATAGGGTGTGTCTTTAAAAAAAATATAAGTACAGTGAATTACACATTTATTGGACACCCTGTATATTGGTAATTATTTTTGGAACATAGCTTTTATTGCTCTTCATAACTTTTATTTGAGACATTTTTCCTATCTCAAATTGGGAAGCAGCTATCGTCCACCCACGCATCGTTGTATTGTAACACCTACACTCTGCAAAAGAATCAAAAAAGTAAATATTTACTCCGCGCGTAGGTATATATTGTGGTCTGCTATTCCATGTTAAAAATCCATTATAACATGATTGATGGCAATTTTTACAAACTTTAACGCCATATAAATTTATTTTATCACGAATGCTTGATAAAGTGCAATGATGGATGAATTGACCTATTTTCGAGGTAAAAAATTTGCATTAAAAATGTCAATTTTGATAAACCACTATTTAGCATCAGTTTTAAACTTCCGAAAACTGAATTTTTATTGACACCTGCCTATGTTGTAATGTTTTTATGGAGACCATTGCCAGACGACCATGTTTTACATTTATTTTATTATTTTTACAACCTTCGGACCTCCGTGTTATCACTATAATCCATCTGTGACGTGGCGGCACTATTGCCTACGGCGAATTGCACCACCATTTGAAGGGCCTACTACTTTTTCATTCACCAATTCACTCCCTCATTACACGTCGTCGATGGTTAAACGCTAGTTGGCTAAGTCCCATGGCGAAACGTTCTAGCCCTCACGCATCCACGACGTGACCGGAGAGATTATGGCTTAACTATTGCAAGAATGTGGAAGCACACTAATCTCGCGTCATTTTTTCCATAGATTCGATCAATTGAGCACTACCAATTTTTAAAACTGTTCAACGCCGATCTAGTTGCCTCCTCAAATTATTTCTGAATGGGGAACAAACGGAACTCGCAGTGCACTAAATCTGGTCAATTTAATTTTATCTGATCTTTATTTTGGATTGCTTCTTGCGTCTTATGTGTTTAAAATTGTCGTAGTCCTCTCTGTACACTTTTTTCTTTCAATTGTTTAATTATGTCTTGACATTAATTTGAATTTTACCTATAAATTAATTCTGAAAATTGAGAAAGATAGTTATATAAATGTCAATAATCATTAATTAGATTTAAAATTATTAATAATTCATGCAGCTAAATTTATAATTAATTCTCAGTTTCTCAATGTTATTATTTATTGAGAGATAATTTTGAAACGATGGAATCGAGATTACTATTGATTTGTCCTTGAACTACTTGCAAAAGTCGGGTAATAGCAAATATTTGGAAAGCATAGTTATTAGTTTTTAATAATATAATAATATCATCAAAATTACTGTATAATAATGATGTGATAGATAATATATACATTTTTAAGGATTACTTAACGAATGCAAGATTGATTTTCTTTACAGAAATGAAAAATATTTGATAACTAATAAATTTGTTTTTTTTTTCAGTCGTGGGGTGTTCAACAAGTGACTTCTTAATAACACAAGGTAAGAACTTTTTTATATGGAATGATAATTTCGTAGTTTAGAAGAATAATTTATTCTAAAATGGGACATCATGAATATGGGGGCGACTACTTAATTGAATCATCCGGTATAAGGTATATATTATAAGAGTTTGTTAAAAATAATAAGGATAATATATACACTCCCTAATTCCTCAAATAAATGGGAGTGATGCTTTGCAGAATCGCATTGTATAACTACAGTACACTGTTACATGTATATTCCAACAATTTAAAATAAAATAATATTGGCGAAGTAAAATTTAATTATTAAAAATCAATATCGATGACTATGGCAACGTGACGTAGTGTTTGCTAGATTGTTTAGGGCGAGGTTTTATTTTACTCGTCAAGTAATTTAAAAAATTAAAAAAATTTAAAAAATGACTTTTTTGAACAACAGTGGATTTCCATCCAAAATACACGCAATACAATTTGTATTGGCAATATTTATCGTCCACCTGATACAAATTTAAAAATGTTTTTAGATCACTTTGAAGATACTATATCGACTATGAATATCGAATCTCAAAATTTGATTTGTGTAGGAGACTTTAATATTGACCTACTTGTAAATAATAATGTTACGTCTGACTACCTAGCTATACTTGACGGGTTAAACATGAAGCAAATTGTTACCGAAGCAACAAGAATCACTCTTAGCTCAAGAACATTACTTGATCATATTATCTTAACCGAGAACTTAAAAATAATTAAACATTCTAATCTCAATTTTCCGAGTTCCGATCATAATTCGGTTGACGTAATACAGAGATTTTTCGAAATTTAATTTGGCTAAATTTGATGCAGATTTACATTCTCTTAATTGGGAAACAATATATTCCTTTAATAATGTGGATGAAAAGTTAAATTTTCTTAATAACTCCATTAAAAATATATTTGATTATCATGCGCCTTTAAAAATATCTCGTTTTACTAAACCTTTTTTGCCATGGATAACACCGAATATAAAACTTTTAATGTCATTACGAGATAGAGCCTACACTAAATTTAAATCTAGTAATAATGCAGTTCATTGGAATTATTACAAAGATCTGCGTAATTACACAACGGGTGCAATTAGAACTGAAAAAAAAGTTTACTTGGAACAAAAACTTCAAAATGCAGATAGTAAAAATAAATGGAAAATTTTGAGAAAATTTAACATTATTGGAAATCCTAAGACAATAAATAACTTTAATTTTAAAACTAATGCTACTGAAATTAATAGGCACTTTTTGTTCACAACAGGAATCGTGAAAGATCCACATAATGAAACACACTCCTTTTATAGCAATAGTCTAAAAAATGAATTTGTATCAAAATTTAAATTTAAAACAATTTCGGAAGAAGATGTAGCTCGCTCTATATTGAAAATAAAAACAAAGGCCTGTGGATATGACGGCATTAACATATCCTTAATACATTTTTTATGTCCGCACTTACTCCCATATTTCACACACTTATTTAACTATTGCTTATCAAACTCAGTGTTTCCATCTTGTTGGAAAGAGGGACTAGTTACACCCATACCTAAAGTTGAACCACCTTCTGAATTAAAGGAATTACGTCCTGTGACAGTACTTCCAACTTTATCAAAAGTTTTAGAACGAACAATGGAATTTCAAATAAAACAACATCTGGATACATACTCTATACTACCAACGGTTCAGTCAGGATTCAGGCCAGGTTTTAGTTGTGGGACGGCATTGTTAAATATCACAGATGACATACTAACTGAACTTGATAATAAAAAATGCGGTGCTTTAATTTTGCTTGACTACAGTAAATCTTTTGATATGCTAAATCACCAATTAATGTTCGCTATTTTAAGTTACATAGGTTTCAGTAATTCTGCAATAGAGCTTCTTAAAAATTATTTTAATAATAGGACTCAACGAGTAAGTTTCCTTAATGACATTTCAAATGTGGGTATAATAAAAAGAGGCGTTCCTCAAGGTACAATTTTAGGATCTTTACTGTATACAATTTACACCAGTAATATTCCGAATGTATTAATGCATATGAAAATACATATGTATGCAGATGACACTCAGTTGTATTACTTCTTTAATAAAGAATATATTACCAATGCACAAAATTTAATAAACACTGAGCTAAAGGCATTATTAGAAGCATCTAAAAAACATGACTTGGTAATTAATAATTCTAAATCAACTATTATGTTATTCGGAAATAATATATTACCTAATGAGTTAATAATCAAAATTGAAAACGACCCTTTAAACACTACTGAGCAGGCTAGAAATTTAGGTGTCATAATCGATAACAAATTAAGATTTACCGATCACACATCATTTATATTAAAGAAGGCTTATGGAAAATTAAAAGTTTTATATCCTAATAGACATATTTTAAGTAGGAAACTCAAAATACTACTTTGTGAATCGCTTGTCCTCTCACAAACTAACCACTGTGACTACGTATATGGTCCCTGCTTAACTTCAAGAGATTCAGGCAGACTACAGAGGCTTCAAAATTCTTGTTTACGATTAATCTTCAGTATAAGAAAATTTGATCCAATTAGTCATACATTAGTAACTGCTCGCTGGCTGAATATGACTCGCAGAAGGTTATTACATTCGTTGACATTGCTCCACAAAGTTATCGTAAACACAACTCCCCCTTACCTAACCAATAAAATAAAGTATAGATCAGATGTGCATAATATTAATATCAGAAGAAAAAAAATTATTTCTATTCCATTCCATAGAACTACCTTTTTCGAAAAATCTTTTAGATATAATATTTTCAAAGCATACAATCTTCTACCAGACAATTTTAAATTAATGAAAATATCTCAATTCAAACAAAAACTTTTTGAAAAATTATTTAGCGAACAGTGTTGAAACTAATTATTTCACCTATTTATTTATTTATTTATGCAAATGTGTTATAAATGTGTTATAAATTTATTATGACTTTTCTTCTAAATCGCGATTTCTTACATTTTACTATTAATATTATTTTTTTTTTTTAATTTATTTATATATGTATACATATGTGTGTGTATGTATATATATTTTGGGTTCTTAAGGAAGAGCAGCCTAGCTGATTTTGCGCCCTTTAACCAACGTTTGCCTTTTTCTTATTTTTTATGTATATAGGTACTATAGTGAATATTCTATTTTAATTTACTTGTATTTTGTTGGTTAATAAAGACATTTATTATTATTATTATTATTATTATTATTAAGTCACTTTATTCTGGCGGGAAAGGGGACATTTTTCATCTATTTTCTTACAAATGGCAAAATTAGAAATGGACCTATGCTGTTCTTAACAAATTAAAGGCAGCCATTACATAAAAAAGATCTGGAATAGCTTGAAAAAGGAACTCTGTGATCATGATAATGTGCCTTGACACAAACCAGATGAATTGCTCTGGATAAATTGCAATTTTAAGTTGTTCTCCAGCCACTATACTCTTCAGATATAACATCGAGAAATTTTCACCTATTCGTGAAACTCGAGCTTTTCCTTCTGAAAATACACAACCAAATTTCTATGGAATCATCTATTATACACTCAGTCCTTACCAAAGACTTTTAATGACAAATTACCCACATGGCAATAGAAATAATCAATTAGTTGACAAAATAAACAATGGTATTTTTTGTTTGTTTCTGAAACAAAATGAGATTTAAATTTTTAATAGCCGAAAAGCAAAAACAAAAAGAAAATTGGTAATTTTAACAATCCGTGATACCACCTCTAGCCCTTATGCAAGCTTCTATTCGTCTTGGCATGCTTCTTGTCAACATTGACTTGGTGTATGTTTTTCCATTCTGCTAACGCTGCATCAATAAGATGTGCGACATTTCCTGCATTGTTTAGACCAGCTCTAACCCTTCTTTTGAGTTGGTCCCACAAGTGTTCGATAGGATTTAGGTCTGATGAACATGCAGGCCAGTCTAAAACTGTGTCACGTTTCTTTTCAAGACATTCTCTAGCCACTCTGCTGGTATGGGGAGGTGCATTATCGTGCATAAAGATAAAATTATCCCCAATTGCAGCTCTCCAAAGCGATTGGTTTTAGCACTAAATCAACATATTTCGGACCGGTTAAAGTTTGTTGAAGTGGTAATAATGAAGTTTTTGTTCCCAGCAAAATACCTCCCCAGAACATTACAGTTCCTCCTTGATATTTGGGACATATCTGGCAGCCTGGAGTCTCGCTCATCTTCCTGGAGCTCTGAGAACCCGAATTCAATGATTATCTGATCTTAGGCTAATTCTGCTCTCATCTAATTGTCCAGTTTTGGTATTGAAGACACCAATTTAGCCGATCAATTTGATTTTGCTAACGATGGGACCCGTAACTCTCTCCTACTGCATAACCCTCGAGCACGAAGTATTTTTCTTAGGGTTTCAACTGAAACGTTCATACCTGTAGCTTCCAGAAGTTGTTGTAGCTCTGGACGAGAAACACTGTGATTTCTTCTAGCAATTGGCACACAAAGCGGTCCTGTTGTTCAGTTGTAACTCTTTGACGACTTTGTCTTGGCCTGTTCTTGAGATTGTCTAGTTCCAAGTACCTTTCATACGTTTTCCATACAACACCCTGGGTATCGCCTAACTACCTCTATTGTCTTATTGGGACATTCCTTGTTCAATGAGAACAATAATTCTTCCCCTTTGCACGTCTGCTAGTCCAACATAAAGCATTTTGTTGTTTTTTTGGACCGAAATAAAATTACCGGACGATCTTGATTTTACTTCTGAACACAAAATTCACAAGATAATAAATCGCAGCAGTGGTTTCTTCTTTATTATCATGTTATCTTAAAGTTGGATACCAAATTTTTTCCTTGCAAAAAGTATATTCAGAAATACACAGTGATTCCTTATAAGTTTGGTTGTGTGTAAATTTCAGTCGGACGTTATTGCAGATATTGGTCTTTGCGGACTTTTACGTCAAAGTTCTTTAAAACTGTGGGCCATATAGTCTCCCCACTCAAG